TTATATGATTGTGTCTTGATGGATTGAACGCTCCCAAGGGCCCCTGTTCACCTTTGATACGTGCAACTGCCTTGCAGGTTCACACACACACTTGCCACGCACTACGGCAGCTTTCGCCATGAAGGTTTGAACAGCATCTAGCGGACATGGAGGAAAGATGCAACACGTTGGATCTATCCGCCTGAGTGGGGAGGGGAAGTAAGAGACAGACCAAGTGAACAGGGCGTCCAATTCTCGACGGGGCTGGAAGCAACCCTCCTGCCGATTTTGTGAGTATTCATGTGGCCATGAATTTTAATAGGGAACCACCTTAAAAGTGATTGGTGGATATGAATCCCCACCTAAATGATGTCCACCAAAGAGTCCCTTATTAAAATTCATAGCCATGTTTTGATTTGTGCTCGCGCTTTGGGTTTTTGGGCTTTGACATTCGACCACAACTCACTCTGAACAACTCCGCGCAGGAGCACTGCGACCCATGCGATGATGGGGACCATGCCGACCTTACCACAGAGCACCCCTTGCTGTTGCGGAGGCAGCAGGAGAGGCAGCTAGCAGCTAGTAACTTCACTTTGCCTGCGAATTGGATACACAGCAGCCACACCAGATGCATGTTGACGCAGTTCTTGCAAAGTAAACCTGGTTTTGCATACAGCAAGCAAGGAACTTCGCCATACTGTCCAGCATGCCTATTGGCCTATTGGGTTCCATCTAGCTCTTGAGAAGCGTTTTCCATGGATGGCATATCCTGTTTGTCTGTGACATGTTCTTTGCTCGCAACAGTTTGCTTCGAATCACTTTTGCTTGGCAGAGTACAGCGGAGGAGCTGCAAGGACAAGACTCGACGCCGCGCGCGGGTCTCAGGCTACACTGGCTTGACATCAAAGCTACGAAGTGCCAGTCATTTGGGTGGCAAGACGGAGAGGAAGTGAGCAAACAATATTCAACCGCTTTGTTTGCCTCTCTTCCAAGGCACCCCCCGGGGCCCAGAGCCGCCATGGGCACAGCATGGCGGAGAACGGAGGGACCGGCCTTGGGGTTGCGAGTGCCTGTGTACGCGGGTTTTTGGGCTTTCACGCGGCAGGTTTCTGAAGGGACCCCTCCTGATTAGTCCCAGTTTGCAACTCATTGGTGGTTTTAGACTTGGATTTGAACCTGTTACAGAGGACGGGGAACCCCGGAACACGCGTCTTTTTTGAGGGTGCCACTTTGGGAGTGGTTTTTTGCAAGGGAAACCAATAGGACCACAACCCATTTGGGAGTCCAGACCCACTTGATCGCCGCCAGGACCGCACCGCCACGGGCGCCACGCCGCCCCGCTCGCCCACCCCCCCGCGCTCCGTGCCACCGGGGCTGCCGCCGGAAGATGCCGGGGGTCTCGATGCGTTCGCGCGTCGCGCGCGAGGCGCGCGAACGGGTAGAGGCGTTGATGTCCCTCAACGACTCCCTCAACAACCTCCCTGCGGTGCCTTGTACATGCGCATGTGGTCGTACGCACACACACACACACAAATGACAGCAGACAAGCCTGGGCCGCGGTAAGCATCGATGCGGCATCGCTCCCTTGGTGGGGATTGAGGAAAATCGTTCAAGGAGTTCTTGCTGAGAACGCCATGCCCATGACTTTCGAAGGAGGTTTGACTGTGACCAAACTGCGAGAGAGGTCGATCCTCACAGAGCAGAAGTCAGAGCTCAACAAGGGAACAAATTGCACCCAAGCAACTGGCACGGAGTACAGGAAGGGGGATGTCCCCTTTATGACCTTTGGGAGTGGTGCATTTCTCCAAAGGGAAGAACCTTGAACTACAATCTCCGGAAGATCCATGCACAAAGAAAACATCTAGGCTGAGACCTTCAAGGGTGCCTTGGTTTTTTTTTGCACACGGATGCCCCGGGATGTGTCCTTTGTGAACAGCAGCTGGGCGTGGCTGAACATTTCAGAGCCAGGGGGCTGCAGCTGTTCCTCTACTTTTCCACTTCCAAGGAAATCCATTTTGGGCCCGAGCCACACAAAACATAAGGGTCCCATTTTCCTGTGTGTCTTTCTTGAGGGTACCCATTTTTGGAGCACCCAGCCTTGAGGCCACCCTCTGGGTTTTTGGTTGGAGGGAAAACGACGCCGCCGCTTCGAAGCCCGTGGTTTCGACCAGAGGCGCCGGCCATTGAGAGCGTCATCACGCTGGCCGGCAGCTTCGGCACCGACTTTGTGGAGGCGACCCAGCGGTTGCGAGCCGTGTTTTTTCTTCTTCGGGTTTTGGGGGTGGGGTTCGGGGGTTCGGGGTGTCCTGGCAACCGAAAGTGGCGGGAAATGGAACATTTTTGTGGCCTGGCTTGATGTCAAAAGGACAGGGTGGGTCAGGCTTCTGGCTAGGATATGCACAAAAGATGGGCAAGGAGTGTTAGATGCCTTCCAGAAGTTCGAGCGCGACGGGAGTGGCGTGAGCCGCCGCCAAGAGCTGGCTCATCTCTTCAGTTTGGATCCAGAAACTTGGGATGATACCTCCGCGGATCGTGCCCTGGCCATGGCACTTGGAACGCAAAGAAGTCGTCAAGTGCTCTGGTGAAGATCACCACGCCGTGCATGCTATCGGAAGTCCAGTGCTGGAGGGTCTTCAGGAAGGGCTCCGGCTTCAGCGATGAGCCAGCAATGAGCTGCGCTCAGACGTCTTCCAGCTGCAGTTGCCCTGCTTCTGCTCCCCAAGCGTGACACGCCCAGAGTTGAGACAAGGTGATGGGGGGAGGCCTGCGCTTCGGCCAATAAAAAACTGCAATTGTGCACAGATCTATCACTCGAGTTCTGGTTCCCACGAGGGCGCAAGTTGAACCTCAACCTCTTCCAAAAACACGAGATGATTGACGGGTAGATCCTTGCGTTCCCCCGACACCGGGAATATGGGGCTCAACCTCAGCGGGGGTGCCTCGGAGTCGGCTGTCGGACTTTCCTAGTTGGGAACCTACAACGAGCTCTTTGATGAGGACAAGCTCAAAGCAAGATATTTTTGGTTGACTGGTGCCATGGTACCTATGGCCGAGTTCCAGCCCTGCTTGCGAGATCGCCTCTTCAAGACCAAGGGAGTTGCTCTTGATGGCCGCTACGAGGTTCGGTTCTTTGACTTGAAGCAAAGGAGGTTATTCATGAGATCGACTACTTGGTGCGTTTCCGATCAGGAATCAGCCCGCGCAGCGACCATGTGGGCCCTGTCTTGAAGAAGCTCTTGGCGCAAGATTGTGGGCCTTGCGATGCTGTGGAGCCAAGAGTCACCATCATGGAAGATGGCTGGTGGCGTGGCCCGTGTGCCGCAGCGGGCCGGGCCTAGTGTCGCCGAGAAACTGCGGATGAAGATAGCTGGAGGGATGACGCGTGTGAGCGGAAACTGTTGGCGAAATCAAGATCGCTGGCGAAGAAGAAGTTGTTGGAACCAAAGAAGTCCACGGCCATGTGCTCGCCAGCGCAAAGTCGGAGCAACCGGCTTGTGACAGCACGTGCTCTGTGACCCATGTGAAGGAAATAAGTGGCTTCAAGTTGCTCGCCGCATTCGAAACACGTGGGGGGACCTTGAATGGAACGGAACGGTGCATGGTCCGATCGAAGCGAGGAGACCTATCCAGATGCGAACGGAGTGTGAAGATGACGGCCTCTTCTGGATGGAGCTTCAAGACTTCATGGCGCACAGACAAAACAGAGGTGCACTTTGCTTGGCTGTTAGGACTTCAGCTTTTTGCCAACTAGTGTGTTTTCCGTATCAAACCACTAAAGGTTAGTCACTTTTCGCAGGGGAGCAGAGTTTGCAACCGAGTTTTCCACGCGCTTTCTGGCGCTTCAAAGATATTTCTTTGCTTCACTTTGAGCCCAAAGTCAGAAGTCAGAGAGAGCTTCCGACTTCCGGAGCTGTGCAACATTTCTCCGGAGCTGTGCGCTTTTTCCCTTGCAAACGTCAGCGGGCCATGGAGCTTGGGCTGCTACGATATGGAGCAGGGTTGTGGAATCAAGGGGTTTATTCCCACTTCTGTGATACTTTTGGGAATATCCCCCTTTATATGGGGTGTTAGTCTTTGGGAAGCCCTTTTTGTTGTATCACAGAAGTGGTCATTTCCCACAACCCTGATATGGAGCGATTAGAACGTGGATTAAAATATGGATCACTGGCACAAGGAGGACACAAATCCTCGGAACTTTCCGTTTATCCTCGGAAAACGGGCGGCGTTGGATTTGGAGCTATGCGTGCTGGCCCCTTCAAGAAGGCTCACCGGGAAACTGGTAGGCATGCCACAAAAACAGAGTCAAAACGTCCATTTGCTGACCTCCGCTACAAACAGCGTGCAACCAAAGAAGCTCAAACAACACCTCCAGTGTGGGGGAAAAAAGGCCCCCAAAGCCCCTGGCACGACACAATTCTGGCCTTAACGGGACAAGGAGACCCTCTAATTCTCTAGCCTTGTTGGAGTTTCGAAGTCTCGGTTGGTTTCAAGGGAAACTAAATTTAGCAGTGCCGTTTCAGCGGATCCCCCCCTCTTTTGACAAGCCTAAATGCGAGTTCAAGCATTTGAGTCGTGTATGTTGCATGGACTACTGGAGCTTTCAAGAAACAACACATCCAAAACGACTTGCTTTGGAGGGATCCTCTAAATCAACCATTTAGTGCAGTGAGTTGGGCTGAATGTTCGCTGGGGTTCAGCGGGACTTTCATAAGCTGCGACGTTATTTAGCAGACGCAGCCTCGCGGCCAGGAGCTCTTCCGCTTTGTGCGCAAAGGCCGCGCTCTTGGACACCGAGTGAGATGCTGCGGCCCTGCAAAGCACACATTTCCGAGCCACTCAGTGGCTTTGCAAAGTGGCATGTGTTGCGCAGACTGTCAACGAGCCCCGAACCGTTTGAACATACGTCCTCCAACCATTGTCTGAAGGCCGTGTTGGTTGCAACACCCCATATACGAGGGAAAGTCGCCTCCAGAAGCATCAGAGTTGCCGCAAGCCACCTTAATCAAACCGCCCCAGGAGATATGGCCAACATCACCACGCAGATCCAGAGGGTGCGCCCGGAGACGGTGGAAAGAAAGCTAAAGCCGGTTCTTTGGTTAGGGTCGGCCTTTTTTAGTCTTGGGCCAAAGACCAAGCTATGATGGTCTTTCTGTTTGATTATACTCGTTCTGGGTGTAAGTTGGTATGTGTCATTTCAAAGCGCTTGGTCCAGTCTAGACCCAACTCGGCTGGGCGAAACTTGGGAGTTGCAGAAGGGCTCTCGTCGATCCGCGTTCCTTCCTTGTGTGGAGGTGAACCACGCGGCTTTCTCCCTGATGGGAACTGCTGGCCGGATTTGAGTTTCCCAGACTTGAGGTCATCGCACTACGGCTGAGGTTGCTTGGTACCAGAGCGAGGTTGCAAAACACACCACGAATGGAAACGGGGTAAATTGCCGGGTCAGAAGAAGAAACAAGCAAGCTCTGACGTTGATGGTCTGTAGCAGTTCTTCTCCAAGAGCCACTTTGGCTTGAACTTGACCTTGTTTTTTTGTTTTTTTTTCTCTCGGGCAGAGCGGGATGGGGTGCTGTGGAAGCGTTGCAGACCCAAACACGTACCTGGTGCCCCACGGGAACGGCAGCAAGACGCTGGTGGATGGCTTGGTGGGCCTGGGACCTTCTCAAGCCTTCACCGTGGAGCCGTGGATGACTTCGAAGAAGACCACTCCTCCGCAGATCCTGAAGATGATGGATGCCCAGAACAAGGTGGTTTTCTCCATGTCTGGTCGGTGTCATCCCCGGGAGGACACCCAGCTCTATGCGGCTGAGAAATTGGTGGCTGTGCTGCGTACCGCTCAGAGCAAGGCGCCGACCTCGCAGGCGGGCTGGGAGCAAACCAGCTGGCTCATCCTGGGGGTGGAGCCCAGGGCCCAGAATCAGAGCGCCTACGCGAACGAGGGCGGGCAGAGCCTCTACTTGTGGGGCAAGCTCACCCGCTATCCCATGACCAACAAGACGAAGCTTTGGCGCATTTTGCCAAGGGATGTTAGGACTTGAGAGCTGTTTGCTAACTCATGGGTTTTCCTCATTAAACCACGAAAAGTTGAACACTTTTAGTTGTTTTTCTAACTCGTGGGGTTTCCATTAGTTAAACCACTAACAGTTAGCCACTTTTAGCTGGGCTGCAGGCAGAGTTTGCGCTTCCGAGGAAGCTCTTCTTGGTGAAGGACAACGGGTACATGGCGGAGCAGGAAGCCTTCGGCGTGACGGTGAAGATCGGTTTGGCGCCGCAGAAGTTCGAGGCCTGGAGCGGCAAAGGGGGCGCCATGGTGGTGACGGTGAAGGAGAAGAAGTACCAGGTGGGTATGGGCAAAAAAGTGGTCACCAGGATATGGACTGCAGGAATTTCAGTCCTTTCCATTTACCAGGATTCCAGTTGTACCTATGTTTGACCCACGCCCAGGTCTATGTCGCGGAGGGTGCAGATGTGGCACTCTTGTACGCCTGCACCATCGCACACCACAAGATGATGGCGGAGATTCCGAACAGCAATAATGGAGGAGGAGGAGGCCCTTGAGCCAGCCAGGCACTATTTTGCAGTAAGACAAATTTTCGTCCCTGCTCAGTACAGTTGTTGTTTGCCAGTGGCAGCTGATTCTGTCCAGAGGACATTCTTCCTTTTTCCTCAGACAGGGCGACAGCATTTGCTATCATTCCCGTCAGAGGAACACTCTGCCTGCTTGCGGGTTGAAATGATGGAAGCTGCTTTTGTGCTTGAATCACGCCATCCCCCCAAGTCCTTGTTTGTTGGTAGCCAAGCAATACAGATATGCTGCTTGGGTCCACTTCCTCCTACTTTCCTCGCGCTTTCGCTCGAGTGTGGCAGGGGGGCCTGGTGGCTTTGCCAATGGCCGCAGCCATGGTCTTTTCTTCTTTTTTTTTTTTTTGGGGGGGGGGCGGATAAATCCGCTTTCTGGCTGTGCAGCTGCCAGCAAGAGTCACCAGAGATTCATGTGGCCAATGTGGATGTCTGAAGCCGCGCGAGTGCTCCGAGTGCTCCGAGCCAACCAGTGCCGGCAAGGCAACATGTCGGCCAGCGACCGCAGCGAAGGGGCAGCGCGGCGCACAGGGAGAAGCCACCGAAACTGAGGCCACCTGGCCAATTATGGCATGGCACTATGTGGCTTTGGAGCTCCGTGTTTCCGTTCTAAACGGCCCCCGGGCAGTTTTTGTGGTTGTTTTATTTGTTTGGTCCGCCCACGTCTGAAGCAAACACCAAGAAACAAACCCGGGCACGTCTTTCCAGGCTTCTCTGCTTTACTCCAATCACGTGAGACCTAGGCCGAGCTCACAGCGGAGCTCCTCAATAAGGCGCGCAGAAAATCCCCCCGTGGGCTTCGGCGGATTTTGTTTTTGGGTCCGACATGTGGAACTTGAGCAGCTTCTGTGTCTGTTTGCCGACACAACCAGCTTGTGACAAGCATAGGTGTCCTTTGTGGTTGTTTTGATAGAAGAATAGATGGCCCTGGTTTACCTGGTGGTTAATAATCTACCAGGGCCATCTATTTCCCCTAAAAGACACCTATGGTGACAAGGTTGTTTGTTTGGCTCCGCTTGCAGCTGGCTTGCGGTGTGAATTGATTGGATTTCCAGGTGCGGGAGGGTTCGAGTGGCTCCACGCTGCTGGGAGTCGGGCTCTCAGAGCATGGGGCGGAGATTGCACAAGGTCTGCCTGAAATGTCTCGTTTTGGTTTTTAAAATGATGCCACGGGGAAACTCATCGATGGGTCCCTAGCCCTTGGTCAATGAAAGTTGTTTACCGTGTACAATCAAAACAATGTATGAGGCTGGCTCCGACCCGACAACCTGCATGTTTTCTCCGACAAGGAGTTGCCATGTAACAAGCAATCGGCCGCAATCCCCAAAGTTGTGATAAGTTGTGATGGCATTTGTGTAAGCGCTTGAGCCATGGTGAATGGTACGTCACAAAATCAGGGGATGCATCCCTGACAGGCCGCAGCAGAGAGCGGCCACGTGCTGGCAACGCACGCGCTGCTGCTGCATAAGGCTGTCTAGCCGAGGGTCCATTTCGTTTGCCGCAGTCAGGCAGACAGCTTTGTTGTGTTTGAGATGGCAGTGCTCACCTTGCATGTCAGCGAAGCAGTGCTGGTCCTGACTCTGACAACGACATGCCACTGTCTGGGGAACCTGAACAGAACAAAATTAGCATGGCATGAGGGTTGCCATGCGACACGCACACCAGGTTATTGTGCTCTCTGCGTTTTCATGCTTTGCATTTGCTGCAAGTGTTTTGCCGTGACTTCCGAACGGGTTTGCCCTGCGTCAGTGCAAGGGGGAGCAGTGCAGGAGGTTGTGCAAGCACTGGCATGCAGGCAGATCCAGCAATTGCAGATGCCAAGGGTGCGGGCCCTCAGACGCAACACAAAAGATTGACAGATGAGTCCGAAGATGACCACCCTTGTTGCGGGCTGGTGGCATGTCTTTTGCGAAGGGCATGAGCATTTGAGTCACAATCAAAACCCGGTATTAAAATGGTTGACCCAGAACCATGCTTCAGGCAAATACAAAGGCGGCCGCAGCTGTTTCTGGCTGGGATTGTCCCTTACTAACTTTCATCTATCCCCGGGATTTGAGCAAGTGCTTATTTATTCTTGCCTGCAACAAGACTGGAGCACGCCCTTGTCAACTTGTTTCTGCCGTGCTGGTTGCCCGCGGCTGCCCATGGCGGCTGCCTATGGCTGTTGGTCCATGAAAATCTTAGCTGCAATGACATGGGTAAAATATAAAGAGCTAGGGCCAACCGCAGCTTTTAGCCTTTGGTTTCATTTACCAAGTTGGTACCGCTCATTGCCTTGCATTCCTTTGCCAAGTGTGAACAGGCCTTCTGTTACGCAGGCGTTGGTCTTTGGTTCCATTTCCCGGGGTGCCCTTTTGGTACATTTCTTTCAGCAGCCACATGTATGCTTGCATGCAGGAAATGCGCATACTTACATCCAGGCACACATCATCAATACATTGGCATGTATGCATGCAGGCAGAGACACAATATTTACATAGGCACATAGATGCATTGATACATGGACACACACACACACACACGCAGAGGCACATAGACACATAAACACAACGCCAAAACACACAAACACACACTTAGACAGACACATCGATACATACACATAGTCAGACACACAGACACACAAGCACACGCTCTCATACACACACACACATACCATACATACACATACAAGCGTATATACACATGCACATATAATATATATATATATACACACACACACACATCCGAACATGCACAAACACACACACACACATGCTTATGAAGACAGATACACACACACAGACGCGCCACGCACACACACACACACACTCGCACCCACACCCACGCCCACCCACACACACACACCCACACACACGCACGCACACACACACACACACACACACACACACACACACACACACACACACACACACACACACACACACACACACACACACACACACACACACACACACACACACACACACACACACACACACACACACACACACACACACACACACCCGCGCGCGCGCGCGCATGCACATGCACATGCACATGTACAAGTACACATGTGTGCACATACGCACAAGCTTACATACATACACACTCACGCACATGCACTCACACACATATTTGCATTCATTGATTCATTCATTCATTGATTCATTAATTCATTCATTCATTCATTCATTCATTCATTCGTTCATTCGTTCATTCGTTCATTCGTTCATTCGTTCATTCGTTCATTCGTTCATTCGTTCATTTGTTCGTTCATTTGTTCGTTTGTTCGTTCGTTCATTCATTCGTTCATTCGTTCATTCTTTCATTCGTTCATTCGTTCATTCGTTCATTTGTTCGTTCATTTGTTCGTTCGTTCGTTCATTCATTCGTTCGTTGGTTCGTTCATTCATTCATTCGTTCGATCGCTCGTTCGTTCCTTCATTCATTCATTCATTCATTCGTTCTTCCGTGCATTCATTCGTTCGTCCGTTCGTTCGTTCGTTCGTTCATTCATTCATTCATTCATCCATCCATTGATTCATTCATTCATTCATTCATTCATTCATTCATTCATTCATTCATTCATTCATTCATTCATTCATTCATTCATTCATTCATTCATTCATTCATTCATTCATTCATTCATTCATTCATTCATTCATTCATTCATTCATTCATTCATTCATTCATTCATTCATTCATTCATTCATTCATTCATTCATTCATTCATTCATTCCATTCATTCCAGTCATTCCATTCATTCCATTCATTCCATTCATTCCATTCATTCCATTCATTCCATTCATTCCATTCATTCCATTCATTCCATTCATTCCATTCATTCCATTCATTCCTTTCATGCCATTCATTCCATTCATTCCATTCATTCCATTCATTCCATTCATGCCACGCATTCCATTCATTCCATTCATTCCATTGATTCCATTCATTCCATTCATTCCATTCATTCCATTCATTCCATTCATTCCATTCATTCCATTCATTCCATTCATTCCATTCATTCCATTCATTCCAGTCATTCCAGTCATTCCAGTCATTCCAGTCATCATTCCATCCCGTCATCATTCCGTCATTCCCGTCATTCCAGTCATCATTTCCATTCATTCCATTCATTCCATTCATCCCCATTCATTCCATTCATTCCATTCATTCCATTCATTCCATTCATTCCATTCATTCCATTCATTCCATTCATTCCATTCATTCCATTCATTCCATTCATTCCATTCATTCCATTCCATTCATCCCATTCGTCCCATTCCATTCATTCCCATTCCATTCATTTCATCCCATTCATCCCATTCATCCCATTCATTCCATTCATTCCATTCATTCCATTCATTCCATTCATTCCCATTCATTCCATTCATTCCATTCCATTCATCCCATTCATCCCATTCATCCTTTCGTCCCTTTCGTCCCATTCGTCCCATTCGTCCCATTCGTCCCATTCGTCCCATTCGTCCCATTCGTCCCATTCGTCCCATTCATCCCATTCATCCCATTCATCCCATTCATCCCATTCATCCCATTCATCCCATTCATCCCATTCATTCCATTCATTCCATTCATTCCATTCATTCCATTCATTCCATTCATTCCATTCATTCCATTCATTCCATTCATTCCATTCATTCCATTCATTCCATTCATTCCATTCATTCCCATTCATTCCATTCATTCCATTCATTCCATTCATTCATCCATTCATTCCATTCATTCCATTCATTCCATTCATTCATTCATTCATTCATTCATTCATTCATTCATTCATTCATTCATTCATTCATTCATTCATTCATTCATTCATTCATTCATTCATTCATTCATTCATTCATTCATTCATTCATTCATTCATTCATTCATTCATTCATTCATTCATTCATTCATTCATTCATTCATTCATTCATTCATTCATTCATTCATTCATTCATTCATTCATTCATTCATTCATTCATTCATTCATTCATTTCATTCATTCATTCATTCATTCATTCATTCATTCATTCATTCATTCATTCATTCATTCATTCATTCATTCATTCATTCATTCATTCATTCATTCATTCATTCATTCATGCACATATGCACAAAACATATATCCCATATCACAACATAAGTCAACATGACACACCATGGGATAGCTCCATGCATAGAGACATACAGGCATTCATGCAGACACACATAAAGGCACACAGACGGAACGGACGGACGGACGGACTGACAGACGGACACACGGACACACGGACCGACGGACAGACGGACAGACGGACGGACGGACGGACAGATGGACAGACGGACCGACGGACAGACGGACGGACGGACGGACAGATGGACAGACGGACAGACGGACAGACGGACGGACGGACAGATGGACAGACGGACAGACGGACAGACGGACCGACAGACCGACGAACAGACAGAGACGGACGGACGGACGGACGGACGGACGACGGACGGACAGCCAGACAGACGGACAGCCAGACAGACGGACAGACAGACAGACAGACAGTCACAAATTCACACGCACAACCAGGCAAAGACAGACCGCAAGAGACCGACAGAGACCGACAGAGACCGACAGAGACCGACAGAGACCGACAGAGACCGACAGAGACTGACAGAGACTGACAGAGACTGTCAGAGACAGAGACAACGTACATGCATGCATCCATACAATAGGTTGCACAAATTTACACTTGCTTTGGGCTGCCAGAGAGCGCGAGGCTGTAGACATTTGTGAGCCAATTGCTGGGAGTCCGCGAGGCAACACCCCGCTGCACAAAGCTGCACAGACGGGGAGCTTGTTGACGTCCTTGGTGCTCTTGGACCGCCTGCAGGCGCGAAGGCATGGCCTTGGCATGGAGCGCAATAATCAGATGAGGACAGCGAGTTTCACAGATCTGCGGCCTGATGGTTGGTAGGAATTGAACTGCGGCAACAGATGAAGGCAAGGTGTGACTTGAAAGGGACCGGCCGGCCAGTGAGTACCGCACTGCAGAGTGAGCAGCGGAGCAGCAGCAGCAGAAGCAGCAGCAGCCTTGTCACTGAACTTCTCGCGAAACGACAAGGGTCATCTTCAAGTTTTGAATCCTTAAAGTTTGGCATGCCCTTGTCTGCACCATCAACCCCGGCAACACTGAGAGACAGATTCATTTCCACATGTGCCATCGTCAAACGACACCTTCATTTGGGGTCATATAATAGGGATGGTCCTCCACCTGGTAGTACGGATCCGCAATAGCCAAAGAACCACTAGAATGATTCTCCTTGATAGCCAAAAACGAATGATTCCTGTGGAGGGAACAACGAACCATAGGCCGTATGGCTGTGGGTCAAGACCAATGGTAGCATTTGGGGGTAGGGGAATTTTCGTGTATAGTGGTTGGATTGGGATGTTCACTGGGGGTACGATTTAGATTTGACCCATGGCCATATAAGGAGTGTGTGGACCATGGCACACATTGCCGACGGCCGCGGCTCCAACCACCCGGGGCCTTGACCCACCGCAGTCCAACGACCGCTCCGCGAGCATCGCCGCGCTGGCCAACGCCGACGGGGAGACGCCGGAGACGGCAGCGGCCACGGCGGCCGCAGCGGGCGCCAACGTGGAGCTCTACCACGCCTTCGAGGCGAGGGGAATGCGGAGAAGGGCAAACTGGCCAAAGGCAGCTACTTGACTGCTATTGGGTGGGATCTTTAAACTTTAACTTTTTGGGAAATCAAGGCATTGTCCACTAACCCCCCCAAAAGTTAAACTTTTTGCAGGGGGGTCAACAGCAACCAAGACTAATGGGGCAAACTGGCCACATGTTGCAAGAGAAAGCCGGTTCTGCTTTGCATGAGGTTTTTTCGCCCACCTTGAGCCAACATTGGGTGGATATTTCCCCCGATGAATCAACTGATATCCACTTCCAAGCACTTCATGTTGTGGGAGCAGTTGTTTCAGCCAACCCCCCAAAGCCCGCGGGCTACAACTCGAGCATGCCGCTTTCAACAATGACATCGGATTCCCTTGCCGCGCCTATTTTGCCTCAACAGCTATGAGGATTCTTCGGAGCATGCTCGAATCTGCCCTTTGAGGGTTGCTGGCATAGGTGTCGTTTTTGGTTGTGGCGATTCCTGGTTGACCTGGTGGTTTCATCATCTACCAGGGAAACCCATCTGTTTCCCCTAAAAGGACACCTATGGTTGCTGGCCTTGGAGCTCACCGGCCAGGTGTATCAGAAGATGCAGAAGGATGCTCAGCACCGGCAACTGGGCCACAGCCTTTGGCCAGAGGTCCCAACCAAATACAGAGGGCAGGGCTTCGTTGGCGCTTAGGTTGTAGACACAGATGAGACGCGAAAGCGAAGAGGAGCTTTGGAAACACGATGAGTTCATTGAATGCTTGACATCGGCCACCATTTGTGTCAACAAATGAAGGGTTTTATTGAAATGTACAGGCTTCGTTTGGCACTGCCTGGCTGGCTTTGTTCCACTCGCGCCGAGTAATTGGATGCAATTCGGGCCCAGGCTCAGTCCTGGCATCGGACCCAACAGGCCGTTTTGTTTTTTTTCTCGTCGGGTCGAATTGGCGAAGTTCCTGGGCCAGTGTCCTTGGGCATCGGAGCAGGTACTATTCAGCTGGATTTGGGTGCTCAGTCAAGTCAGAGTCGTATATGTTGAATGTTGCCAGTAAAGTGGTTAAGTTGCATGCAATTGCAGTGACCGATGCCCGCAAGGCAGTTGTTGCTTTCATACGATTGGCATCGGTCCTGGAACAAGCGCAGCTTTCGGCGGGCTTGCTATTGGCGGGCTTTTTACATTCAAATATTTCTTCCTGAATGTGCGCTCCTGACAAGGCAGTTGACAAACTGTTTGGTTTCCAACCATGTGGTTCCTACCGGTGAAGAATGCCGTTCCAACAGTTTACACAAGAGGGGTGCTGCCGCACCCTGCGAGGGCATCGCATTTCAACCGGCCCGGACGCCAGACTCTTCCGGCTCGCTCGGTGCTCGCTCCTTGTTCAACTGACGAGAAGGAGATGGCTGTGGGTCAAAACCAACAGTACCTTTTTTGGGTAGGTGCGCCACCCATTTTTGTCTATTTTAGTGAGGATTGGGATGTTCACTGGGGGTACGGGATTTTGACCCATGGCCAAATGGCAAATGCTGACCCTGGGTGCCTGTGTTACTTGCGCTGGTTGGAACGAAAGGGCCTAAACTAAGGGGGGACAACTGCTGCAGATATACTCAGGGATGCATCCTGTCATGGGCCGGAAGTTTCCCTTTGGGGCTCTGACAGCAAAGTCTCAGAAGTCACCATCGACATACATCGGGCATAAGACAGGAGCTCCGCTGATTTGGCTTTGTGTTTTTGGGTTTGAAACAAGCGAATAGGAAGCCACCGAGAGGACATAGGGCAGCCAACAAGACCCGGGATTCTCTTCGGTTCATGCTTGGTGACTAGGCATAGAGTAATATTTGATAATCATAATATGGATCAGAATAATTATAGTCATATACAGAATAATAGTATTATAAATAGGAATAACGACAATCATGATACTGAGAATAATCACAATAACAATAATAATAATGATCATAATAGTCATCATATGAATCATACTAATAAACATCAAAACAATAATGATACCAGTTATAATAGTAATAATGGGGTTGACGGAAGAAATCCTGCACTGCCAGAATGCTAACATTATTGTCACGCCTCGCGCTCCCAACTTAATATTGGTTCTTCGAAAGGTACACATGCCGAACCGTGCAATGGACAAGAATCCTGCACCACCCTCATGCGCGGCTGTTCAACATTGAATGAGGGGCGAGGGGTTCACTTAGTATGACCCTTATGCGGGTCACACCCTGATGCGGTGCAGGATGTCTTCCGTCAACCGTAGCAGCCAAAACTAAATAACAATAAGAATAATAGTAATAATAGTAATAATAGTAATAATAATAATAATAATAATAATAATAATAATAATAAAAATAATAATAATAATAATAGGATTGATAAAATAATATTAATAGTAATCCTAATAGTGATACAATGATAGTAGTAGTAGTAGTAGTAGTAATAATAGTAGTAGTAGCAGTAGCAGTAGTCGTAGTAGCAGTAGTAGTAGTAGTAGTAGTAGTAGTAGTAGTAGTAGTAGTAGTAGTAGTAGTAGTAGTAGTGGCAATAATAATGACACTAGTGATGGTAATAATAAATACTACCAGTACTAATGAGAATGATTATGGTACCAACACCAATGTCAATAATGATAATGACAATATTAATACTAAAACAAGCAATAAGACCAGCGTTAAATGGTAAGGGTAATATTTGCTTGTGCTACTGATGATCATGAAAATGATCATAGCAATGAAAATGATACCTTGTTTGTTCGTGACAATGACAACAATAACACCAGCAATGATATTTTGATTTACACAATGATGATGATAGCAATCATAACAATAGCTATGCTTGCTAATAATAATACTACACAACATAATAATGAAAACAATAATAATGATAATCATAATGACAATGGCAATGACAATGAACCGCACCGATCATGCCGATAGTGATGCTGCCAATGAACATATTATATTGATAGTAATCGCAATCACAACTCATTTCGAATGATGCTGATACCCCGACTTCCCGGTGTGGCCGTGAGGGGACGCGGTGGCGCTGGTGGACCTGGCAGTGGAGGTGCCCTCGGCAGCGGAGGCGGGAGTGGCTGTGGGAGGTGTGGGTGTGGAAGGGGGGAAGGTTTCGGCGGGGAGGGGGGGGGGGGGTTTGGCGGGGGGTTTGTTTGGTTGGGGTTTGGGTGGTGCTTGGTTTCGCATTTTGCATTGTTGCGAGTTGCAAGTTGCCCTTTCTGAAGTCTTGGCCCAAAAAGGGCGCTTGACCTATCTGAATCAATGACGGAGTAATCTGCTGAGTCTGGCCTTCCTGTGCTTCCCGTGCTAAATTAATCTTCCTGTGTGAAGCCATATCGTATTTTTTTCTTTGTCCATTCCTTTCTGCAACTCTATTGCGTTTTTTTGGGTAACATGTTCCCCTCAGCTAGATTCTTTCGGTTGGTGGGGGGGGGAGGAGAGGAAGCAGAGAAACAGGAGGAAGTGAAGGAAGGGGAAGAAAAAGAGGAAGGGGGGATCACGCCTGTTTCCACATGCTTGACCATGCATCTTTGGCATCTTGATCGCAAAGTCCGCAGACCGGCCCGTGAGACTCCACATCAGAGGAAGCAAAGATGTTCACAGTGAAGCTTTGTGTTCGCAAGTCGGCCAGGCCAGGATGGACATCTTCCACCCAAATTTGCACCATTCGACCCGTTGAAAGCACAACCTGCAGCGTCAAGCGTCTGACCATTTGCTGTTTTTGCGCAAAATTGCGCCCCAACAATGCCGCAAATCGGGCGCAAAAGCCCGCAAAACGGACGCAACCACCCGCAAACGGACGCAAATCTCAAAAAGTGGTCAAATCCACACAAAACCAGCTCTGTTGCCTCATCAGCTGGCGAACCCCAGGGTTTCAATCCGGAAGTATTGTCCAGGTAGGGCAAACAGATCATCACCCGCATGGCAAGCCAGTTGCGGGCCGTCCATGCAAAACAACAGCCTGCAAGGATAGCCACGACCATTTTCCATAATCGGTCATTTTCTTTCCAATTCGGCCCAACCGGCCCATATTTGTTCAGTCGGCCAGAAAAAGTGTGACAAACCACATCGAGCAGAAATAAGTGTTCAAATGAAGGTGCAGGAAGGCAGTTATCTGTAAAGACAAGCAAATAACCATCACCACATTCACGCGCACGCGCGCACACGTCGCATGCATGCACGTGCGCAGATGCGCACGGGCACACGCACACGTGCACACATGCACAGGTGGGCACGCACGCCCGCACGCGCCCGCACAGACACCTGCACCCGCACCAGTGCCCTCGCCCGCGCCCGCTCCGCACCTGCCCCCGCGCACGTAGGCTTACCGGCGTGCGCATGCGCACGCCCATGCGCAATCGCACACGCACCCATCCACGCCCGCCCGCTCCGCCCTCGCACACTCCGCCCCGCCGCCCGCACACACACACACGAACATATATATATATATATATACACACCCACACACACACACACACATCTGCACGCCCGCGCAAGCACGCACGCACGCGCGCACGCACGCATGCAGCGCGCACGCTTGAGCGCTCGTGCACGCGCCCTCGCGCACGTGCGCACGCGGACGTGCGGACGCGCACGCGCGTGCGCGCACGCACACGCACACGCGCTCGCACACGCACACGCTTATGCGCACGCGCACACACACACACAAACACAGACAAACACACACACACACAAACACACACAAACACACACAAACACACACAAACACACACAAAAACAAACACACAAACAAACAAACAAACAAACAAACAAACAAACAAACAAACAAACAAACAAACAAACAAACAAACAAACAAACAAACAAACAAACAACACAAACAAACAAACAAACAAACAAACAAACAACAAACAAACAACAAACAAACAAACAAACAAACAAACACAAAAACAAACAAACAAAAAACAAACAAACAAACAAACAAACAAACAAACAAACAAACAAACAAACAAACAAACAAACAAACAAACAAACAAACAAACAAACAAACAAACAAACAAACAAACAAACAAACAAACAAACAAACAAACAAACAAACAAACAAACAAACAAACAAACAAACAAACAAACAAACAAACAAACAAACAAACAAACAAACAAACAAACAAACAAACAAACAAACAAACAAACAAACAAACAAACAAACAAACAAACAAACAAACAAACAAACAAACAAACAAACAAACAAACAAACAAACAAACAAACAAACAAACAAACAAACAAACAAACAAACAAACAAACAAACAAACAAACAAACAAACAAACAAACAACACACACACACACACACACACACACACACACACACACACACACACACACACACACACACACACACACACACACACACACACACACACACACACACACACACACACACACACACACACACACACACACACACACACACAAAACAAACACCAACACAAAAACAAACACAAAAACAAACACGCACACACGCGCACACGCACAAGAAAACGCACACCCACACGCACACCCACAC